TTTTTTTTTTTTTTTTGTTCATTTGAAAGTTTGGCATGGAGCTTTTACACATGGGAAAACACAAATCAATTGAAAGCAACGAAATGACAATTTTTTATTTTCCATTCTACCCAAAGTAGAAAAAAAAAAAAAAAAAAAAAAAAAAAAAAAAAAAAAAAAAAAAAAAAAAAAAAAAAAAAAAAGAACAGAAAAATAAAGCACAAGAACAAGTCTTGTAAAGTTGTGTGAACATTATTTTCTGTGCCGCTGCCCCTTTTTGCAAGCTTGCCCTTTCTCCCATCGTGTGCTCACGTATGCATGCTAGACACGTTCGTGTACGCGTAAGCCATTGTGTAGCTTTTCGCTGGGCATGAAACAAGGAGGAAAGGACGAGGGGTATAGAACAGAGACGGTTCACAAGAGAGAAGAAGAAAAGGCAGGTAGCCTGTGTCTGATACATCCCCTCACCCATTTGTTGCTAACAAGAACGAGAAAAGGTAGGATAAGCGCATCGACTTTGTTTCTTTCATTCTGTACCGTAGAAGAGGAAACGTGCATGTATGTGTGTGTGGAGGGGGGTTCAAGGTATAGGAGTTTCACATGGAAAACTCACCAAAGGGGTAACAATCCCTCTCCCTCTTAAATCACGACTTGTTCATAAAAGAAAATTTTCCATCCCCACACATTTGTTTAATTCGCTCCACAGAATGAACGAGTATGCCAAGCAACTTTATTCAAACCAGCCCATTATAATAGACAATGGGAGTGGGTACATAAAATCGGGGTTCGCGGGGGATGACGTTCCGAACCTTGTATTTCCTTCGTAGTAAGGCGAAACGTTTTAATACTCCTCAGAGGGACTGCGTTTAAAGGGGGATGGTGGTACACCGAGTTGTCTTTCTTGGGCCCCTCAAATGTCACTCCTGTTGTGCATCCTCATTCGCGTCCTTTTTTTTTTTTTTTGTGCATATGAGTGTGAATATTTATACGCCCTTGGCTTCTGCCCCGTTGAGCTGCACCCATTCTGTCCCCATTTTTCACGCAGCGTGGGGAGGCCCAAGTACAAGCGGGTTATGGCCGGCGCGGTGGAGGGAAATATCTTTGTGGGAAACAAGGCAGTAAGATAGAGCCAAATGGGGCCCAAATCAACATGTGCAAGAGGCACGATGCTCGCGCACCTGTTTGAGTGCGACTCAAACTGGGATGTCTTAATGAGAGGAGTCAGGTCATGCAGACGTGCATGTATCGAGGCAACCCTCCCTACACACATGTTGTGCCCCCCTCCTTTTGGCCCCCTCTAGGAGGAGTACAGAGGCCTCCTCAAGGTGACATACCCCATCAACCACGGTATTATAGAGAATTGGAACGACATGGAAAATATTTGGATCCACGTTTACAATTCGATGAAGATAAACTCGGAAGAGGTGGGTCTTGCCTGCTCATGATGGTGCTTGCGCGTTGTATTTTCTCCCCTCAGCTGTGTTTTATACATATATATACATAATATATAATTTTTTTTTTTTTTTGCGTATTCGCATGCCAGCACCCCGTACTGCTGACCGAGGCCCCATTGAACCCCCAGAAGAACAAGGAAAAAATCGCGGAAGTCTTTTTCGAATCTTTCAATGTGCCTGCATTGTTCATCTCCATCCAAGCCATTTTATCTTTGTACTCTTGTGGAAAAACCAATGGCACGGTGCTCGATTGCGGGGACGGCGTATGCCACTGCGTGTCCATTTACGAGGGTAAGTGAGGGGATACACACCCACGTGTTCAGGCCATGCCAAGACGTGTGGCAAACGCGTCAAAATATGGACCAGTGGGGGCATACACACTTCAACTGGTTAGAGAAGCAACCATTCGAAACGCACACAAAGAGTGAAGAAGCGAGCCATCTTTATTTTGGCATTTCTGCTGGCAATTTGTTCCCCATTCAAAGGCACCTCACTTGTACGTGCTTCCTCACCCCACGTCCCAACGCAGGGTACAGCATAACGAACACTATAACCAGGACGGACGTGGCGGGCCGAGACATCACGACCTACCTGGGCTACCTGTTAAGGAAAAATGGCCATCTGTTCAATACCTCAGCCGAAATGGAAGTTGTAAAAAATATGAAGGAGAATTGCTGCTACGTCTCTTTTAACATGAACAAGGAGAAAAACTCATCGGAGAAGGCCCTCACAACTTTGCCGTATATCCTTCCAGATGGGTCTCAAATATTGGTTGGTGGAGTGGGTGCAACTCACGGGGTGGTATTCACAGGGTGGTGTTCGCAGGCTGGAGTCTGCCTGCATGCACCAACCTGTGTGTCCACTCGTTTCACCATTTGACACACATAATATTATGCGTGCATTTTCTCCCTTTTTTTTTTTTTTTTTTCCATTGCGCAATTGCAGATCGGCTCGGAGAGGTACAGAGCCCCCGAGATTCTCTTCAACCCCTCCATCCTTGGGCTGGAATATTTGGGTAAGTGTATTTTGGGTGGGAATTATCCACAAGTTACTTATAATCCAGGTCACAGATGTTTAAAAATACATAATCCCCTCACGCACACACTTTCCCCTGCAGGACTGTCCGAACTGATCGTTACGTCCATAACGCGAGCTGACATGGACCTACGACGGACACTTTACTCCCACATCGTCTTGTCTGGCGGCACGACCATGTTTCACGGTGAGGCACACCTTTCCCCCTTTGCGTTTGTGCTTTTTCATCATTGTTCGTGTTTTCAGTGTACACCTCAACCCTATTGGGTGAGACAACTATTGGGAGAGAGAGAGGGATCCCGCGCTCTCTTTAAATGTTCCTTCGCACCGTAACTCATTTTGTAAATATGAACGACGGTGTGTTTCTTTGTACAGGATTTGGCGATCGGTTACTAAACGAAATAAGGAAATTCGCCCCAAAGGATATTACGGTAATTTGAACAGAGAGAGAAAAAAAAAATGTGACAACACAAAGTTGGCTCCCATTCCTCGTTTGGTCAAATTCGTCCGTTTGTATGCAGTTCGTATATACATGTGTGCAAATGGGAATATATATTTTCCTTTTCATCCTACCACAACTTGTTCTTTTTTTTTTTTCCTCGAACAGATTCGCATTAGCGCCCCGCCTGAGCGCAAATTCAGCACATTCATCGGGGGATCCATTCTGGCCTCTTTGGCTACCTTTAAGAAGATATGGATTTCGAAGCAGGTGAGACAGGCGCGGAAGGGAAGTCCCTGCGTCAACATGCACCTTGACATGTGGAAAATACTTCCCCGTGTAGGGAAAGATACGCACACTTGCACATACCCACGGATGCTATTTTTTTTTTCCCCCTGCAGGAATTTGACGAATACGGATCTGTGATACTCCACAGGAAGACCTTTTGAGACGATGTAGTGGTGGCGTTGTAACAGGGGCATGAAGCGACGTGTTGCACTCTACAACGATCTGCAATGCTTTTTTCGCAAGGGAGGGGGGATCCCAACTGGGCTAGCTTTTTTTTTTTTTTTTTTTTTTTTTTTTTACAACATGCACATGGCTAGCTGTGTTCATGCAAAAAAACAGTCCACTAAAAAAAAAAAAAAAAAAAAATCTCTTGTTTATGAATAAACGAAATGATATTATTTCGTTTCCGTTTTTATCTTCATAATTTTTTTTTTTTCGTGATTTATTAGAAGACTTAGTGCGTCCTTGTATGAAATGTTTTTTTTTTCCCTTCAAAGCGCTTGGCGATGGGGGGAAATTCAACCGAAGGGGAATCAGCAGAATGACCACGTGATGATGCAAAGATGCTGCATTACTGTCTACCCCACGTTAAACATATCGTTGAGGTCCTCCACGAAATAATCCTTACCATCCCTGCATTCTGCAAACAATGGGAAAACACAAAGGGAAAACGTTTTACATCATACGGATGATGCAGTGAGAGGGATAGTGGTATGCGCGACTGATCATACCTTTTAAGAGCTTCAGTTTAATTACGCGGAATTTCTTGGCACATTCATTCTTGCGTTCTAAAAAAAAAAAAAAATGGAAGGAAATAAAATTGGTGTTCTCTACTACTACGTTGGTGGAGGGCTTTTACAATTTTGAGCTCTCATGGAGTAGACCACCTTGTGCGTGTCACACGTGTGTGCGTGACTGACTGCCAACTCTGTGATACCATTCGGGAGGGACTTTAACTTCTCGTGAATTATTTTGTTAATCATTAGATTTAACAGCTGCGTGGAAGGGAAATGGACAAATTGGGACATACCCTCTGTGTGATTCACGTGGTGAAAAACTTGCAACAGTTGGACATTGCCTCGCGATACGTTTTCCTATCCCCCCTTGACTGATTCTTTACCAAGGGGGGGTAGTTCCTCAACATGTGAACGATAAGCAAGGATGTATGGCAATATAGACTTCCTTACATCCAGGCGGTTTGGAAGATTATCCCGCTTTACTTCCTTCACTTTGTGAGATGCTTTCCCTTTGTCTTCATTTCTGAATTCATCAAAATGGCTATAGATGAGTCGCAGTGTGTCTGTAAGCTGGTTAGGGTTCACAAAAAATGCACAAATGTGTTTCGTCCTCCGTGCAGGTGGATGTGTGTGGGTAATTGTGAAATGTGTATCCTCTCAGATGAACATTATTATATCCCACTAACAAGCTCATTCACACGGCAAACCTTTTGCGGAGCTGCGGAGTCCACTTGAATGGACAAAACCTTCTTCTGCCACTTCCTACCCCCACGTACGACATTAACCTGGTTCGGTGATCTCGCTTGACAGGCCCCCCTAAACCGCACAGCATATTTCTGGTGATAAAAGTGGTTGCGCACAATAGTCTTGTCTGCTATGGGTTTGAATTTTTTTCTGCGTCGGTTTCGTTGTAAACATATGTTGAGGGGCGCCTTTAGGTAAATCTGCGCGTATTTGAAGTGGTCTGCGAAGGGGGCGGTAAGGTGGTTAGTGTGGTGCATAACTTGCTCGCAGAACTTGCTCATATAACTTTCTCATTAGTGTCGCTGCTAGCTTCTTCCTTAGACCAACGTGTGAAAGGAGAGTGGCGGGACAGGTGAGATATCCCCACTCATAAAAGTTCACACACACATATACATATAGTTATATGTACATGTCCTTACACCTCCTGCACAAAAGGTAGTACTTCTTCCTCATGGAGGGTAGGTGGAATGTATCGTTGAGGAGGATAAAGACATGCCCATCCATTCCCCCTCTCGAGCTGTTACTACACCGCTGATTTCTCCCCCGCATTAAGGATGCACAGTAGGAGTAGGCAATACGTCTTGCCACTCTCCAGTACTTAAGTTGATTAGCACAAGTCGGTTTTTTTGCTCTGTTCATTCCTTTTGCTTTTTTATCGCTGTCCCCCCTGATGATCATACTATGCCCCCCCTTTATTGTCGTCCTTTTTACTACAGGGTAGTAGACACCCCTGTAATGTTTCTGCCTTCCATACACGGTGTATCTTCTATTCAATAACAAATGAAGTTCTCCTTCACCCACTGTCGATGGACATAAGGAGGTCACTTGAGGTGGGTGTCCATGGTATAATTGCTTTTCAATATAATCTGATGAGATGTAAAAAATTTTTATTTTATTTCTGTTCAGGTAAGAATGATAATGACGCATCCATTCGTCTTTCCTTCTGTACAAGTAGCAAATGAGGGGGAAGGTGCTTGACTGGTGGAGCACCTTAGTTCTCTTTAGAGGATTCCTTTGGGGGGCTTTGCGTAGGGTTCGGTAAAGTTGACGTGTGGCTCCTCTTGGGGGAACACCACGTGGGAGGAGTTGTTCCTTTGCCTGTCCATTGTTTGCCTTTTTAAAGCCTGCACCCGGGTCCCACGCAGAGCTCCTCCAAATGCGAAGAAGATGCCTTGTTAGTTGGACCAAAAAAAGGAAAGACACAGTTTGATCAGTCTCCCCCCCATGAGCCCAACATATTGAAACCTTCCTCTTCGGGTTGCCAATACGATAATAATATTTTATCAGTTGGATAAAAAATATCTTTTCCTTTGTACACACATAGGAGTCATGCTTGTGGACCAAATGTTTAAAAAGGTAAAGGAACAACTGCAACTGTTCTCTCTCCTGTAGGAGTAAATTTATGAAGGTGTCCTTCCCGCTGCAGGGCTTGCCATAAAACAGGAAGGCGCAGTTCATCAGGGAAAATTATAGCGTGGTGGAGGGAGCGGGGAGATCAAAGATGTGCACGAAATTGCCCACACGCTGGTGTAGTTATAATCCAGCTAGCCAAAAAAAAAAAAAAAAAAAAAAAAAGTTACGCTCAAATGTATGCACTATGCAAAAGTGGGTCATCGGAAAAAAAAAAAAAATTCCACTTTGGCTTGACGTGCAAAATAGCGTCGACGAAACAAACTAGGAGTATCTACAAAACACCTCTTTGTTGGCTACTCACTTGATGGGGGGAGTAATTTGAATGCAAAAAAAAAGAAAAATACGAAAAAAAGGGAAAAAAAAAAAAAAATGCAAACTTGCCACACGGGGTTACATGTTGCCTCTCCGTGCGGCTGGACGTTCTTGTTGGCAATTTTTGTTGCATCACTCGCGGCGCTCCTCACGTGCTGCGCTCTGTGTGGGCCTCTAGCGTTGGGGACTAGTGCTGGCGTGAGTCGTCACGGAGCCCGCTTTGGAGTTCAACTTGGTCCACTTGGCCACTTTTTTTGCAAACTTCTTTTCCGACGTCGCCCTGAACTTCCCCCTTCCCCAGCGTGAACAAATTGTTCATGTAGCAGTCGATGTCGTAGGGCTGGATGCCCAGCTTGGAAAAGATCCTCCTGTTGTATGTGCGTCGGAAGCTCTGTTCGAAAATGTTAATAATAATTCCCTTGTTGTTTATCCTTCCTATTCTTCCGCACCTGTGGACGTACTCGTTCGGGTCTACGCGAGAGGGGGGGGCGGAAAATTGTGTGTAGTGGCTGCCCTAGTGCGGAGGCGTTTTATACAAATGTCCCCGTGTGTACACGTCCAACACATATGCAGTGATGTAGAGATGTCATGCGCGTCGCTGACCCTGCGCGACGGACCCCCCGCTTTTAACAAACACTCACCTGAAGGCATGTCAATGTTGACGATGGTGGTGAAGCCCATGCAGTTGATCCCCCGGTAAAGCAGGTTGGTCGAGAGGAACATAAAGTTCACGTACTTTTTAAGATTCTTATAATCGACCAAGTCATTTTTAAAAAAGTTGGCGTAATTAATATCTTTGAATATTTTTTTTCTTTTTTTGTTTTTCTCCGCAAAGATGGTCTGGATGTCCACGTCGAATCGGTTGCGGAAGAGGCTCCACAGGTCCATCACTCGTTTCTGCATCGAAGGGGTGGAAGCGGTGAAGCGAAGCGATATGGTTCGGCTGAAGCCACTGCACGTGCGCACACACGCGTATGTAGCATGTACGCACACGCGCAGATGCACGTGCTGCTCCCTCACCTTGGTATTGCAGAACACCAGGACGTTTTTCCTCAGGGGGTTCGAAAACAGTACATTTAGAAAGTTCATTGTGGCGCTGTTACTCCATTCTCGGTTCCTCCTATCGTAGGTGTAATTTAGGTGAATCAAGTTGCTGGGTATCCTTCCAAACTCCTTCAGGTTGAACAGTTCGTTTAACATACTTTGCTCCAATTTGCGATCAATAGGGGGGCGGTTCCCCGGTACGAACCCTTTTCCACTTGAGTGTCCTCCCTCAGGTGCCTCTCCATCCACATCTGCTTCCTTCCTTTCGAACGATTCCTTCTCCCCATGGAGGTGGCGCAAAAAGTTAGTCGTAATGATATGCCGCGTGAACGTCAAGTAGGAATACACCGCGGGAGTGGCACTGCAACAAATGACGTTGGTGAGGGAATTCCACGAAAGGAGAGGACTCCTCCCGGGCTGACCCTTTTTCGTAGTACTATATATGCTTCTTAATATGTTTGAAAAAAATTCATTTTCCACTTGGGGTTTGTCTGTCTTTGTCCCTTCATTACTCTTCCCATATGAATTAAAAAAAAAATCATACTCATCCAATACGATGGTTGAAATATTGTCGAGGTTAATAATTTGCTTTTCATTTATTAACCTTTCTAATCTGCCAGGTGTTCCTACGTATATGTTAACGTGCTCGATGGGGTCTTCCTGCATTGTGGGCAAGTGTTCCTCGGGTGGGTCCTCCCCCAAGGAAGGGGCTTTCCCCGCACCACCTTTGCTGCTCTCCTCAGGGGACTCCTCTGCCAAGTGCAGCTTAGGCCGCTTCAACCCCTTCACCTGATATTTGATGTTGTTCCCCCCTATTAGTAAATGCACATTTAAATTTTTTTTTTTTTTCAAGTCCACATTTAAGCGCTCCAGTAGGGTCCTCCTTTGTTGGTCTACCTTTGGCAAGTGGGACCACAAGAGGGAGTCGTTAAGTTCGAAGAATTTGGACCTGGAGGATTTGAAAAATGAATCAATTAAATCTTTACACAAGTGATATATCTGTACAGCTAGCTCCTTATTGTATGTAATAATTAGGATGTCATTTTTGGGGTGATTCTCCAACAGGCTTTTTTTTTTTTTTTTTTTTCCCCCATGTGGTTATTGTGGTTGGGTCGTTTCACCTCTCCGGGCGAGTTCGTCCTGGTTAAGGTGTTCACCATGGCAGCCACGTTACGCCTGTTTTTGGTGATGAAATGCTGCTGCTCTTGTTTCACGTTGGAACAGAGGAAGGAAGTCACGTCCGCATTAATTTCCTTCCTTACGTAAAAGGTTTCCTCCTCCTGAGGGGTGCTTGCATACGAGGTTGACGCGGCGTAGGGACATGACGTCTCATTCGAACTCCCTTCTGACTCGCCATCTACACGTGGCAGCTCCCCCTCTTCTGTCTTATCCCAACATGGGGTGACGCCAAAACACACATTCGTGATGTGCTGGAAGAGAGGAAGAACGTACATGAGCGTCTTCCCTGTCCCCGTGGGGCAGTGCAGGAAGAAGGTCCGCACCAGTTTGCCACTGCGCTCGTTGTACTTGTTCACGTAAATTATGCGCTCGACAGGGGTTGTTGTCGTTGGAAGCAGTGACGTGGTTGGGGGAGCTGAGGCTTCTCCCCACATGTTTGCACCCCCCCCCGAGCAATTCCTCCAGTCGCTATACCCATTATTCATGAAAAAAATAAGCAGCGGGATGAACTTGGCCTGGTACTCCGTCGGTTTTTCAATTCCATTATATTTTAAGTAGACATTGAGGAAGTTGTCACAGATACCCAGTTCTTCAAAGGTAAGGTACTTCTCCTTCGTGGCCTTAGCGTCCTCCTTTGTGTCGCGCTTCTTCTCCCCTCCATCTGCATTCAAATCAATGATGCTGCTAAACTTGGCCAATCGTTTACGCGCACCATCGCTCAATGCAGAATTCTCGTAATTGATTTGAATTTTTCTTCTAAAGGGGTCTACACTCTTCCCAATTTTAATTGTGGCTTTTATTTGCTTTAAGTTGTCTCCTTCGACTTGATCGGTGTGCATGCTCTCGTTTGTTTCCACGTCCTTATCAGGGTCTTCCTCGAGGGGAAAATTTCTTCCCTTGCTCTGATTCAACTTGACCATGTTGGTTTCCCCCAAATTTGTTTTTTTTTCCTTACCGTGTGTGTTCCCTTTGTGAGTTTTCCCTTCCCGACACGGTGATGAATACAGTTGTACCTTCTGTTCCTCGTTGGTCTCCTTTTGCGTGTTCTCATGCAAATTTTTATTTTTCCCCTCCCCTGCGTCATCGCTAATATCGTCCACATATCTTCCGAGGCGTCGATTCATCTGAACAGCATGTACCCTGGGAGGACTGCTCCCTCTTTGTTCTGTCCGCCCTTTCCGTTCTCCACCTCTGCTTCTTCCTCCTGAAGACCTCCCTGCCGCTAACACCTTGCGAAGTATTTCGTTGCTCTGCATTCCATTTTTCAAGTTTTCATTTTGCCTGCACAGTTCATATTTTTTCGTTTTTTTATTTAGCCTTTCGATGGACTCGTTCAGGTCATTTTGGAACATGTCCAGGATTTTTTGCTCCTTGCGCGACGGGGTTCGTCTCCCGCGGCTTGTTCTCCTTCCACGGTGTTTTCGCTTCCCCTCATTTGGCGTGTCCCCCCTCGTGTCATTGGCGAGGTCTGTTTGCCTCTGCACGTGGTCAGCACCATCCGTGTTGTTGATCCTTCTGTCCCGCTTCTTCCCCTTTTTTCGAATTCCCTGGCCCAAATCATTTTTTCTTCTTAACTTACCTTTCAACTGTCTGTCCTTCTCCGCTTTGACTTCTTCCTTTGTATATATTTTTTTTCTCCTCCTTTTTAAAATGCCAGGCACATTACGGGTGCGCTTCTTCACGCTGTGCTTGTGAATTGGCGTAGATTCCCCCTCCGTTTGGGCGTCTTCCCTGTCGTCACCGGAGCTTCCACTTCTGCGTTTGTCTCGTCCTTCTCCTTTTCGACTCTCCTCCTGGTAGTGTCCACCTCTTGCGCGGATTACATAAGTCCCTTTTTTTTTTCTGTACCGGTGATGAATTTTATTTTTTGTTATTTGAAAGGGTAGGGTTCTTCCTATGAAGGTGGGGGCACATCTGCCCCTGGCATGGGCTCCACCACAGGGGCTGGTTATCACAAAGGGGGTCAAAATGAAAGCAATTAACAGAAGGTAGGATAGCATTTAACAGTGCGCACATTCCCCACATGTGGGTGTGTGTGGGCGCGGGGAGGGAAGAAAAGGAGGAGGGTGCACACTTTGGCAGATGCTCCTCGGTAGTTCCTACTCTCCCGCTATTCGCCTTCTTGTGATTATCCGATCTGCGAACATAACGATGTAGGAAGTGTGACCTTTGATTGTTACCCCTCCCCCCGTTAGTGGAGGAACCGTATGCCGTGGGGGGGAAATACACCTGCGTGGGTAGAGCGCGTTGGAAGGGCGAAGCAGCCAAGCGGACGCACAAGTCGCAAATGAATATTACAAAAAAAGAGGGATTCTACGTGGAGAGAAAACAAAATTTAGTTCATTGCCACTGCAGGGAAGTATCTTAACAGAAAAAAAAAAAAAAAAAAAATTCCTAACGTTCATTTTGTGTATACCATCTCGCATGTTTATTCATCCTATGTGCAGGCAAAAAGGTCCTAACTGTTGCTGCCAACGTGAAGGAGCAAAATGGATAGTGGAGTAGCTTCGGAGTACAGAAAAAAAAAAAAAAAAAAAAACGACGGGAATAAAAATATGGAAATATGTTTCGTTGCACTGCCTTGGCTGCATGGACCTCATCCAACGCTTTCAGAGCAGCTTCCAGCGACATGCATATAAATCTGTAGCACCTGCATGGCACGTATCGATATGGCTGATTAGTCAACCTTGGAATTCCGTGTGCATTATGTTCGCGTCATTTTTGAAAATGGTAGGAGGGTTTGCTATCTTTGGGGGAAGGAAGAAACATGAAACGACCATAAGGATGTGTTCCTAATGGTGAGTGTGACAAGGACGCTTCACAACTTCTTCACAACGACGCTGCAGAACAACTTGTTCACACCAAAGATTGGGACAGCCCACGTGTGCCTCCACCTGGAGTCGCCACACGGCCTCCGTTTTCGCCACCTAAGAAGTGACTGGACACGATGAGGCAGTGCTGATGCAGGCCACATTTATATTTGTATTTCATTTTCAGGAATTCAAAATAAATTAACAAAAAATTAACCATCCTGTGGTCGACATGAAATACTAAGGTAAGGACATCCCTCAGATTTTGCACTTGAAGAAAACAAGAAAGGAATAGTAACGGCTGCTCTATGCAAATGTCCTTTACGATACTGCCCCCAAACAGGACATGTAATTTTTCCTCGTTCGTTGCATTGCTTCCACACGTTTGGTCGATCCGCTCTTTAACGACGCGCAGGTTTTGTATTGCTCGGCTTATCTGTAAAAGTCCCATTGCAGGGCGGTAAAAAAAAAAAAAAAAAAAAAAATGGACAAAAAAAACATTTCATGCGATGGTGTGGGCTCAACATAAGGATTACACGAACACATACGCCCACGTCGCAACAGAATTTTCTATCCCGTTCGAAGCTTTCTCTACCTTTGGAATATCAATGAGGAAGAAGTTGCAAATAATATTTAGGGCGAGCCTCTTAATCTGATCGTCCACTCCATCGCGCAGACACTTTAGGCAAAAATGGCTGACAAAGGGGTGAACATGTTCGAAACAGCTTTCCTCCTTGGACACGTTCACGAGGAGTAGCATTGCGTTGAGGAGGAACCTGCGTGTGTGGAGGGGGGGCATAATTTGTATGTGGGGGTGGTATAGTCACATCAGCATGGTTATCCACATGTGTACATACACACACGCTGTAACACATGTAGGAAAACTCTCTTCCCATAGGGATGGTCTCACCTGTACTCGAAGCTCTGCTTGGACATCTCTCTTCCCATTTCGAGCTTGTCCATTTTTCGGAAAAGCTCCGGTATGATGTCACTAAGGATGCTAACAAAAAAGGAAACAAAAAAAAAAATATATATATATATATGGCATAACAAATCGCCTGCACAGGTCAGGCAAAAGGGGAAAAAATGGAAACATGCCCGTTTCCTCCCATGAGTAAATAAGGACATGTGTGGACGTTGCTCCATCGACGAGGGGAAGAACAGGACGTTAGGAGTGCTCAGGAGGACACGAACAAGCGAATGCACCTCGTTTTCTTTTTTATTTTTTTCTGTTTACAGATTTGGGGAGAATTTATCATCGATGGTTGCCACGTAATTAATTATGTTCAAAAGGACTATGTCGTTCATGTACTCGTTTTTTCTGAAGTTGATTTTTACGTACTCCCACAGCTGAAAAGGGGAGGAAACAAAAAAGGTGACAGGGACATAAGGAAAGGCACAATGGTGATGGTGCGATTTCATCACCCGCCCCCTTGTCGCAGTGTGGTGCAAAACTGCACAGCTTTTTTTTTTTTTGTGTGTGTGGTGGATTACTTGGTATATCTTTGGGTACAACTCATACAGTCGCGTTGAAAAAATGAAGAGGCATCGTAGAACGCAGAGGTGGGCACTACATCGCACGTATACGCTGCAAATGAGTGTGTGTGGGGGACAGACATACATATGAATGGGTGGGTGTACGACGTTGCGAGGTGGAAGTGCAACTGTGGTAAATAAACCGCACTTGTGTGGGCTGCTCTCCCCGCTTCCTCTTTCCTCAACTTACTCCTCATGACAAAGAAACTTTTTTGCAAAATGGAAAATATACTCTGCCGTGTGTCTGATGTCGGGGTAATGAACCTCCTGTTGGTACTTCCTTACATTGAAGTAAATATTGTCCTTAAGATCCTTTGTAGAGTCCCCGTTAGGGTTACTTCGTGCACTGGTGTTCCTCCCATCTTGTTCTTCATACAAAGCGTAGAAGTCATCGTCCACAAGGATATTGACAAGCCTCTCACATGAAATGTTTTCCCTTGCCTTGTTCATAATACTTTTCATGTGTTCTTCTATTTTATTATAGCAGTCCGCCTTGGCCTCTTCGCTGCTTACTGTGTCCAAGTGGACCACATTGATGAGGTCTTGGTGAAATTTGAATAAGAGTGAGTTGTGTAGAAATAGCTTTTTTTTTTTTTTTTGCTCAGCGTGTCTGTGGAGTATGCTGTGGAGGGTCCCTTTGCCATGCGTGGAGCGGATCGATTCGCGAAGCGGTTCGCGAAGCGGTTCGCGAAGCGGTACAGTTGGGTGTCCATTTCTACCACCGCTTTTGTCAACGCTGTCTTCAGTCATGTCGTCGCCCCTGTTGCAACTCTTCCCAACTGCCCCTCTGAGGTGAGCAAAATTCACGCGCGTGTCCCCGCGCAGGAGCCGCCTCTTGACCTGCGCCACGTAGTTGCCCCGCACACACAGCTCCACTCTCTTCCGACTTATATGTTCATAAAACAAGTAAAGGACATAATTAAAAACGTTCAACATGAGCACCGCCATTTCGTTTTTCCTCTGTCGCTCCAAATGAAGGAACTGCATCCTCCTTGCGTATTTTATCATGTGGACGCAAATGTCTTTGAAAATGTAAATATGGTAATAGTGGTGCCTCACGAGGAATTGCGTTAGAGTAGAAATTTTTCTGCAGCTGTGAACTGAATCCATGTTGATTAATTTTTTATACACGTAGGATGATATAGCTTCGCTGTTCTGGTTTAGAATGTCCTCCATGCGGTCCACCTGGGGGGCGGGATCTCGATTGGCCATATCATCAGTAGGCTTGGAGTCGACGGGTTTAGCGACAGAGGCTGTGTCCAGGTGAATTGCTTCCACCATGCTGCTACCGTGGGCTGGGACGCACAGAAGGTGCGTCTTCCCCGCCTGTGCAGAGATGCAGTTGTCATTGGGTGCCCCCACTTCGCTACCCACTCCCTCATGGCGACACAGGTGGACATTGCGTATTGTGTACTCGACCAGCTCCCTCACATATGAACAGGGGTTACTCACGTTTAACAAGAAAAAAAAAAAAATTTTACAGAAATATTTTTCCATCAAGTCTTGGTACCCACACAGGGATGACACGCAGAAGCACTTGTTTATGCATATTAGCAGGAGGGAGAGGTAGTACTGGCTCAGGTCTACCTCATCGGCCCCTTTCCTATGACCTCCTTCACCCGCCGCGTCCACATGATGCGCCTTTTTCACCCTCTTGGACGTCAGGAACAAAAATACCTTCTCCATCGTCATCCTTAAGTTAGGAGTCCCCTGAGACAATTTCATTTGAAGGGCTAAATAAAAGTAGCTCTTATAGAGGTTGTTGTATTCTTGCAGGACTTCTTTGACCAGGTCGTTCTGTAGTGCCCATTTAGAAACGGGTTGGTTGTGAGACATGACTGGTATTGTCTCCGCTTCACTTCTTCCTTCCAAATGAACTCTCGCATGTGTGCACAACATCACTATGAGGGCGTCCATATAAAAGTTAATAAAGTGGAGGCACTTGCATTTTCGCTTAAGGGGGGGCTGCTCCTCTCCTTCCCTGCCTCCATCATCCGTGGGGGTGATGTCTCTTGTCGAGTCTGTTTCAGATGTGCTACATATCTCCTCTGGTGATTTTTTTGCATTTGCCCAATTGATAGAGTTGGTAAAGGAATGTATCTGCTTCCACCACTTGTTCGTTAAAACGAGCTCTTCACTTTTTGTGCCCCTTCTAGTGCCCTCTCTTCTGCAGTTGTCCCACACTGTGTACATGACTTGGTTCAGGTGGTTCTCCAGTTCGTTTTCGTTCGTGAGGAGGAAGAACAGGATGCTGACCTCGCCGATGAGTCTACGGTGGGGTGATAAGTGTAAAACAAATGGGTCACATGATTAGGAGTGGCCAATTGGTGAACTGCATCCACGCGTACGAAGGCAAGAACCCCATCGCGCATGATGGCTCCCCCAAGCATAGCACTTACCCCACGTCCTGCAACCTGAAACCATCCTTGATGTTTCGAAAATGAGAAAATCTGATTTGAGTCCTGTTTGACTTTTCACCTGAACAATAGCTTCTCCCATCAGCTAGCTGTTCATATACATTTAAAGAATATAATGAGTTGTCCTCGCTCAGGATGGTGGAGGAATCGCATTGGGGGAGATAAGTCCCCTTATTCACACAAGCCACATTGGACATCTCGTACAGGGAGAGAAAATAATTTACACAAAAGTATTCTCTAACAAGTGGCACTTTTTCTGTTTGTCTGTTGATAAAGTGGAAGTACAGATAGCCCTTCATAAACCGAAGAAGGCATACTTCGTTTTGTCTTCTGCACATGAAAATGTTATAGAGGTGTTTGAAGTAGTAGGTACCCATATTTTTGTTTAACTGTTCCAGGGTGCAATTGGCTTCAGGGTCGAGGCGGATAAGGGGGTGCTCATCTGGCTGCAGCGACGTGATGAGATTTGTGAAGATGGCGTGGAGATCGTCATGAAGAGTGGCTTCCTGGGGGGTACGCGGCTCACCGGGTTGGTTGACTCCTGCACCGTTACGTAGAGCGTTACGTGAAGCGTTACGTGCGCAGTTACGTGAACCGTTAACTGGTGCACTAGGTGGAACGGTTACTGAGTGGCTGCTCTTACCTCCGCCCTGCTGCTCACCACGCCACAGAGAAACGCTTAACTTGTGAACATGCAACAGGTGGGCGAAGCGTTTACTGCCCAGGAGGAGCTCTAACCGAGCCGCAAAAGAATCGCCTGCCTCAGAAAAAAGTTCAGACACAAGGACAAAGTACCCCATGAGAACCAAGTTCTTGTGCAGGAGGTACCAATAGTTGATTATAATTTTGCACAGGTGGGTAACCTCTGCAACAATCTCGTCCTCATAGTTTGTGAGAACGTAGTAACAGATGAAGTAGATGTTGGCGATGATCGTTTTGTCTTCGCTCGATTCGTCCATGGGTGTATTGTATGGTGGGGTGTGACGCGCTTTGCCTAGCAGTTGGCCCAATTGGGTCTTTCCCGGGGGGCCAGGTGCCCCGTGGGGGTGCTCTCCAACAAAGGGAGCGGAAGAGCCCATTGTGGGTAGGGTTTCCAAACTTTGCAGAGGGGAAATACATCCCTGTTCACTTCCACAAGTGGGCGGCGTACCCCATTTGTAGTCCCCTCCGAACTTGGTTTGTCCCAATTCCACCTGACCGTTCAGGCAAAAAAGCAACATTTTGTCGACGCACATGGAAAAAATTTTTACAATGAACTTTTGAATATCCTTCACATAGCAGGTTCGATAAAGGAGGAAGAGATTTAGGCTGATGGCTCCAAAACATTTTTTTAAAATGAGGACATTATTGTTTATCTTTTTCAGGATGATAAATAATAACTTGAGATTTTTTAATTTAATTTTTTTTTTTTTTTGAATTACATTTTGCAAAATTGTTTGGATGACCTTCATAAGGCACAAGAATGCGTCCAGGTCTTTTTTCCTTTCCTCCGATTTATGGTGTGTGGAATTCCCTACCGCCTGTTGAACATTTGCTATGTCACCTTCGTGTAGGTGATGGAACATATCATGGGGGTAAATTTTCAGGAAGAGTTTTTTGGCGTATTGGATCACTGCCACTTGGAAGGCCTCGCTGGAGCTCTGCGCTTCTTTCAAATCGATTGTAAGCAACATGGAAAGATTATTCAGGTTGGCGAAGAAGATTTGTCTATCCCTTGTGTCCATTTTCGTAAAGCAAAAAGAGAGCAACTTTATATAATACTCAATGGTTAGGCGGCACCTCTCACTGCTACACATGTCGTACCCTCTTAAGTAGTCACTAAGGGGGGGGCTATTCCCCCCCATAGCTTCATGCACAGGTGTATCCTCAACAAGGGAGTCATCTGTTTTGCATCTTAGAAGGTAAAGAGCTACTCTGACCTTGTTACATAAGATGGATGCTATGCTAGCGAATACATTTTCTGCCACGCCGAAAAGGTTTATGTGGGAAGTTATTTTGTTTTTTTTTATGAGCTTGTGTATTTTTTTTATTATTGTGAGATCCGTCTCTACACTGCGGCTCTTGGTGAGAGATATGAGGCAGTTCACTGCCTCGTACTCGTGTCGCGACTCCATTGTGTGGGCGTGGCTGTGCAGCTGCACACTTGCGACGGGGATGCCGACATGGACCGCGATAACAACGGTGAAGTTGTACTCATTTTTTTTCCCGTTTTTCCTTTCCTATCTCGCCAGCATCCACTCGAAGCGTCCCTCATTTGCACAAAAGAGTTTCCCCGTTGGAGAGGAGAGTGGAACTGTACCACACTTGGCGGTGCACAGAAAATGCCGCCGCTCCTCCCCAACTGGGGACACACGGCGATAAAAGTTTTTTTCAAAATGAACAAATCACCTCTTTTAGTTGTCTCTTCTTCCGCAAAATTAAAACTGACTCGTTCCTCTTATTAATGTCATTCTTCTCACCATTTTTCGTGTGATTTATTTTTTTATTTCTTTTTTATGACTTATTTTTGTCGTTTTTTTTTTTTTTTTTTTTTTTTTTTTTTTTTTTTTTTTTTTTTTTTTTTTTTTTTTTTTTTTTGTCCACGCAGGGCTTTACCTTAATGTCATGCATACATATAATAATGCAGCATATGCATGTTAGGCACCCGGCCCGGTAGCGTTGCGGATGGGGTTGTTTTCCTTCCTGTGATTTGTGAGCTTGGCCCCGCAATATTGTTTGGCGAGGTGACCCGGAGGACAAGTGCGACAGGAAGGCAACAGAAGACCAAAAAAAAAATGCGGTGAGCAATGTGGCTTAGTATAGCACGTGGACACTAACCCTGTCGGCTGCATTATTTTTGACCATTCGAGGTATTAACAATTTTGCCCCATTTTACCATTTTGTTTACAAGCCCACGGTGTTTAATATATAATTTTCCCCCCCCTATTTTACCATTTTTTTACATGCCTACTGCTTTTTCTTATACAATTTTTTTTTTTTTTTTTGCTCATTTTCTTCTGACCATTTTTCAAATAAACTAAAAGAGCAGAAATTTTTTAAACAAGCTTTTTATCCGTGCGGGACTGGTCTTTTTTTTTTTTTTTTTTTCCCACTTTTACTCGTATAATGCTTATTGAAGATGAAGACAGTGGTAATCGTCTTCAGCCTTTTGATCATCATACTCCTGGCCCTGTTTATTTATTTCGTTATTTAGGGGTCGCTGAGGAATGTGGGCAGAACAAGGGACTGTTCTCTCAGGGCTTCGTTGAAGAGGGAAACAAAAGGAAGCAAAGTGAGGGGGAATTTCCAATTTGTAACAATGACAACGAGGTGGTAAAGGATGCCCCGGAAGGTAATGAGGCAAAGTTCACGTCGAGCCTTACTGAAGGGGAGGGCAGGAGGAACAATGTGCATACAAGTGGTAGCAGCGGTGGAAGTGGTAGAAGGAGATGCAACACCCTGGAGGCGAACCACCTGGATCTGATATTTCACGATTCGGTGAAGACCATTTATGAAGGCACCAATGATGCGCATGTGGAAATTCCTACCATAATGGGTAGTGGCAGAAATGGGGGCGCACGATGCCACCTGCAAAAGAAGAAGCAGGGGAGGCAAACAGACCACCTTGACGATGTCGTCCCGGAAAGCATTCATATAAAGGACATTACGAACAAGGAGAACGTTCCACAAAGAATTGAAAATATGAAAAATTTTTTAATGGAGCGGCTCGAAAGTGTGAACCAAAGGAACAAGCAGCTCTTTTTGCAGAGTATGCGTAATATCAGTGAGATCTTGAATTATAACTTTTTGTGTATAAGTAAAAATGGGCACGAGTTAGATCCTGCTTCGTTCGCCTGGCATGACTCTTTTGTGGGGCATGTGCTGGGGGAGGCGTGGAAGGGACGGGCACACGCCTGCTTGGAGGGAGTCAACCATGAGGGAAGTCAGATTAAGACCTCCCCTCATGTTGTTAAGCGTGGTAGAGTGTTTATCCCATGTGGGGTCAGTAATGATAACACAGGAGGGAGTACCTTATTAAGAGGCGATCGAAGTGTTGCAGAGAGGAATGGACAGGAGGGAGAGGAAGACCAAGGGGAGGAATTCACATCCCCATGCGCCGCCAATGTGTATGGGAAGCTGAAGAATATCACGTGTGTGGAGGAACCAGGGCTTAGGTACAAGTACGTGTACCCGCCAAATTACAAGCCAGACGTCACAAAGGAAGTGAGGAAAGTGCCACAGGGAAACATCCTGTTCAACTCCAAATTTGAAAGCGCAAATTTGCAGTACGTGTTGAAGGAAAAGAATAAACAAGTGTATTCGATATATTTAAATCACGACGTAAGATCAAATGAAAAGAAGAACCAATGGTTCTACTTTAGCGCAAGTTATATACCAGACCTCTATTACCACAGTCATTATTTTGAGGAAAAAAAAAAAAAAAAAAAAAAAAAAAAAAACGAACAAAGATGTATAAATAAAATTATGAATGAAATCAATAGACATGTCTCTCTCGACAATAATGAAAATTTGAAAGTTTCATTTGATTATTCTGATTTTTTTTTTGTTAATAATATTAAGAAACTTGAGGAAGCTTTTTCTGTTAAATTTAAAATTGAGAATATGTCTAGGCCTTATTTTTTATACAAAGAAGGACACTCTCCTTTGGTGTTCTCTGAGTGTAGAAGCATGAAGGAAAATGTGCTGTGGGAGAGAGCAGCCTACAATGTTTCATACACGAGAAATGACAACCCTAAATATTTTAATTTAAAAACAAATACATTTGAAAAATTACCTTACTGCACATACACTTTGGAGTTTTCTTACGATTTCCTTTACCCCTACGACACGGTCTATTTTGCTAGCTCCTTTCCCTACTGCTACTCGTACCTTATGCATTACCTGGGGTTACTAAAGGGTTACGTGCACCGTGCGCAGGAGGAGAAGCAGGATGCGAAGCAGAAGGAGGAGAACAAAATTAATTACCTGCAGGGCACCTTGTGCACCACGGCATGTGGCCTCCCCTGCCCCGTTGTAGCCATAACGAATTACGATAAGGGGGACGCAGAGACAGGGGGCGTGACAGTGGAAGCGGAAACGGGCGTGGCAAGGGATGGGGACAGTCATAACGCAGGTACCGTCAACACTGTGCAGAACTACGCGAGGTTAACTCACATGGAGGCGTCACATCGGAGCAGTGTACCCGCCGTGGAAAATCCCAAGCTTCTAAACGCCGCCAGTGACACTCCGTGGCAGTGCTGCGGGGGACACACATATATGGACGACGCCAAGTGCATGTACAATTTGTGCCATCCTAGGGGGGCACCTCGTTGCAAGGAGGAGGAGGACGACGACCCCAGGCAAAGGAGCCCCCTCAAATGTTCTAACTCATTCATGCGCCAATTTGAGCTCCTCTTGGAGAGGCATTCCATGCAGCATGTAACAACTGACGATGGAAGGAGACTCCTGCGCGGGTCGACCATGTCGCCTTGTTCAATAAGTGGGTCTACCCATGTGGTGAGTCCCTCCCCAGAGGGGGAAGAAAAAAAAACACCCCGCCAACCGCGATGCGAAGAGAAGAAAATCATTTTTCTAACCGCACGAGTACACCCTGGTGAAACAAACGCCAGCTACGTCATGCATGGCTTCCTCTCCTTCATCACATCCGACAATGCATACGCAGATGCGCTTCGTGATAACTTCATTTTCATTGTCATACCCATGTTGAATGTAGATGGGGTGATCCTAGGACACAACAGGCTCTGCGCAAATGGGTTCGATCTGAACAGGCAGTGGAATAGGCCAATATATTATCTGCACCAAACAGTACACTCAGCTAAATCACTCATTAAAAAAATAAACAGAAATGGAAGAATTGTCTTCTTTTGTGATGTCCATGGGCATTCGAGAAAATATAATTGTTTCTTATTTGGTAACTCAGATAGTAGGTCTCATCTAAGGGGTAAAAAATTAGCAGAAATTTTTCCTCAGGTTTTAGGACCGTCACTCCCTTGGTTTTCCGCAGAAGATACAAAATTTAAAAGTGAGAATATAAACAGGGGAGTAGCAAGACATGTGTGTGGAAGAGAGTTTTCAATCGACTGCAGCTACACGTTTGAGGTGTCCCTCATAGGGGTCAAGATGCAACACCACTCCGATGGGGGGAGCCCACCCCACGCGATGCAAATGAACGCAGCCATTGGCGCGACCGCAATGAACGAAGTGAGAGAAGCGCAAGAAGGAGAAGAACCTCCCACCGATAACCCTGAACACGAGGACGAGTTTTTTTTTTATAACGAGAATGTCTTAATGCTCACAGGAATCAGTTTTGGAATAAGTCTGTTCAAATTTTTTAATTTTGTGTCCCACCATAAGGCATTCATATCAGATGGGGGGGACGTCGTCCAGGGAGAGGAGGCGACGACAAATGAGAATGACAGAAGGGAGAACGAAGATGCAAAATCGGATATCCCCCCTGCACGATTTAAAAGTAGATGTAGGGTGCAGCTTGGTGGCCTGTTACCATGTCACAGGAGTGAAGTGACAAGATCAGGAAGGAAGAAGAAAGGCGAGGTTGTGAAGGAGGCATATTTGAAGGAGGCCAATTTGAACGAGTCCGTACCATTGGGCACTGTCGCTGTGGAGCCTACGTCGCAAGTGAAGAGTGAACCGGTGCAACCAACTGCATATGTGAAAAGTCACCCTGATGGGGGATACCCTTTGAAAGGTGGTAGTCGGAGTGATAGTAAGACTTATGCGGTCAGCTGTGGCAGCGGAAAATGTAACAAACGTGAGGGAGGAGGCGAGCGGCAGGTTAGAAAGCACGTCGCTAAAAGTGATTCGAGCGCCGGGCAGGACCAGCGAGATGTGAAGGTGAAGGGGCTATCCAATCGGAGGAAAGAAGCACAGGATGACGTAAAAGAAAGTCATGTGCAGGAGGGACACAAGGGGGGGAAGACTCACAACAGAGCAGCTGCTAGGAAGGCACCAACGCGTTCAATGAAGAAAAAGCAGTGGGTAAAACTGCTCCCAAGTAAGAACCTTTTTTTTCGTTCCATAGGTGCGAAAATATATACCGGATCACATGACAAGCGAGGGTCATTTGTAAAGAGGTGCCTCGACGGAACTGGCGGCAGTGCAGTGAAGCAGGAACGGCGTGGCACTTTGTCCAGTGGAGCGAATTGCAGAACTAGACATAGAATAAAGCACCCCTGCTTAGAGGAGCACGTGGACGTATGTGAACCATTACAACCCCACGGTTACGACCCCCGACTTGGAGGAAAAAAAAAAAGATTCGCAGGACACCCCAGCGGGAAGTGTCCCCGTCAGAGGAAGAGGCCACTTCGAATTACCAGGAGAAAGCTGGTGATGATTAAAAGAGTGAACTTTGTGAAGGGGAGAAAAGCAAATAGTAGTCCTCAAGCGATGCACACAAAGAAGGAGGGGAAAAAAGTTGGTTTGAGTTTGAACCATGGAGGACTAAAACGGGAGTATGTTATTTGCTTAAAAAGGAAAAAGCTGAAAGGGGGGTTGGGATTAATCAAGTTGTTCAGACGGAAAGTGAAGCCATCGAGTGTCGCGCGCGCGTCACATGGTGTAGTGGGAGAAGCGGTACCATTTCTTGGAGGCTCCATCAAGGGAGACACGAGGACAAAAAGAAAAAGAAAAAAAAAAAGAGATTCAGGAAAAGGCGTATCTTCCGTGAGCACGGTTGTGAATGAGAAGCGAGAGGGGTAAACAAAAAAAAAAAAAAAAAAAAAAAAAAACTTTCCCATGCGTTCAGCTTACATGACCAATGGGGGGATTGAATAATACCATTGTGTATCCACTCCATCATTTGAACGCATTTCTTTTTTTTGTCCGATTTTTTTGTTTTGTTTTATATGTACACACTTGCATACGTTTGTTTTTTCCCCAATGCAAGGTTGCCTTTTTTTTTTTTTTTTTACAGTCATTTCGTATAATAAAAAAAAAAAAACGACAAATTTGAAACTCTTCTACAACGGTTTGATTGGAGAATGGGAGGGGGTTAATAACCCCACATGATGGTGGCCATGGTTAACGCTTAGGACGGGAAATAGCCTCTGAGGGGTTTCCATTTTACATGTGAGCCTTACCAGCCTTGTGTAGAGATGCGCAGTAGTTGTCCTAGTGACGTGTAGTGGAGACTCCCAAATGATAACACTGCATTTGGCCTAAGCTGAAACGGGTTTATACACGCAGCTGGGGAACATCACACCGAGAGGGAGCAGCTTTAACTGCGTTGACCTTTGCTCTCATGTGCAGAGCGCGTGGCCATTTTTGAGTCAAAATTTGAGGAGGTTGTTTTACATCCACCCTAAAGCGAGCCCCGCAATGGGTATAAAATTGTACGTGGGGATATTTTTTCGGAATTTTTTTTTTTTTTTTTTTTTCTCATCTGATGGGGAAGTAGCTGTTGCGGGGGTCGCCTAACCCGTATCACAATTTACCAGATCGTTCAGATTGCTCATTTTGGAGCTGCTTTTTTTAATTTTCCTTTTGACATTCAAGTATTTTTTTTTCGAGGAGCATGTGATAAATTGGCGGCGTGCAAAATAATTTCCCAGAGGAGAAAAACAAGGGGGGAAAAATTTGAACAAGATATCCCTCGTTAAGGCAATTCAAATGGGCCGGATTAAGTTGAAGGATGTGCAGGTGCAGAAGGGAGATTCGCGTTCCTTCCCACGAGGACACATACTGAGGATGTAAAGGACCTCTCTGCGTGAATACCCGTTTGCGTATCCTGCTGCCTGCCCTACGAATGACCATTCCTGGTGCCACAAGCAGGTGGGACAGAAGGGGGGCACATATATGCGGATACTGACCTGGGGAACCCCACACGCGTGTGTGTACGTGCACCCCCATGTATATCCAATACCGCCTGTTCAGCGAGCACTCCCTGTGGAGGGTGCTTGAAATAAACAAAAGCGAGAACTACATTTTGGCCAGCGAGCTGAAACACATCATATGCAAGCAGAGCAATATAAATTATAACAGCAAGATTGATATTTATTTTTCTGTGTACAAGGATGACGAAGAGGGTAGCAGGGTCAGCGGCGTGAGTGGGGTCGGCGGCGGGGACAACGACGTGGACTTCTTGAATCCCGAGGACAAAGTATACAATGGGACGAAGATTCTCATCCACAGGCATATAAAGAAGAAATCCAATTTGAGTGATATTACTCATGAAGCAAAAAAAGAAATAAGTGTGGACATAAGGGAAGAACAAAAAATAAACATTCCAATTGAATTTCTGTGTAAATTATGCAGCTACATCCTAATCGATTCACATATCCTTGTGTGCACTAACAACTGTGGTTACTCGGTGTGTAAGACTTGTATCTTATTGTATGTGTTAAACAAACTCGTTACGCAAGATGAAAAAAAGACCAGTACAGTGATTGACTTGAACAGGCTGAAGGACAACTCTATACAGTGCCCACTCTGTAACGGATCCTTAAAATATTGCATATGGAATAAAAAGTTAGAATTAACTTTAAAAAAGATTATAAATGAACGGAGTGATATCGACTCGTTTAAACTGAACGTTGAAGAAAGGAACAGTCGCTTCCTACGTATCGTGGAAAAATTGAAGATTGAAAATTTTCCTCCATCAGCAAGTGTCACCAAAGAAAACATATTTGAGAGCGACGTGTTCAAGGCGATTGAAGCCAAGTACATTTTGTCCAGCGGGAACAGAAAGACAGACGAACCGTTTAGAGGGGAGGACGACAAGGAAGAGGAGGATGTGAAGATGGCTAACCATTTCCTCTACCTAATGACCAACCCTAAACAGAATTGCATAAAGGAATTTAACATGATCTTCCTCGAGTTTGAAAATCCCATATTTGACACAGTGCAGAAGATGGGCTTGAAGGCTGCGTATGATCAGCAGGTGGGCAAGGCCAGCCCAGGGGCAGGGCCATCATCGGTAGGTAGTACTTCTGCTGCTGCTGCTGTTGGCGTCGGCGGTGATGCAATTGCTGGGGAACGAAACGAAACCGTCACGCAAAGCACATCTAACTCGGGCATGAAGGCAGGTGTGGACAATTCCGAGGACGATGTGGATGAAGAAATGTACAGCCACAGCAAAGTATACATCATGCCCATCTCATTTGTCGGGGGAGAAACATCCTACTCGTTAATCGGTGTCTTCTATGTGAAGGGTCTATACAAACATGTGTCAACTTCAAGCACTGTTAGAGACGAGGGAAAAGAGCAAGCCATTTTGAAAAATTTTCTCCAAAAGTGGTTCTCCGATGAGGTGAAATCTAATCAGAATCCATCGGACATTCTGAACCCACGGGAACGGCTCAAGTCTGGAGATGTGTATACCCTAGAGTGGGTTCACAAGTACGAAAAGACTTGCTTCTTCCCAGCGAGGAAACAACCCATATATAACATTATCAATAGCAGAAGGCAAAGAAGTAAGAAAAAAAATAATATTGAAATTGTCCTCGATCTGAAAAAATTTGTGGATGTGGTTTTGAGTGTAAACAACTACATAAAGTATGGAAGTCGGCCAAATAATTACGACACGAAGAAGGGAATGGTGTCTTCCACTGTGGAAGATGAAGAAGGGAAAAAGAGAATGCCACCACCACCTACCAGGATGGATAATAAATTAGGGGATCCGAGTGGGTGGGCCCAGACCATTGGCAGTGTTGATGCGATGGTGAATCAGAATGACGTGGCGGCAAAAGAAAGGTTAGGAATTTTTTCCAGTGCTGGGGAGGCATCCTCTTCTCCATCAGGTGAATTAATAAGGCAAAGCGAATTTCAAGACATTTTTGAATTGATGTATGACACGAAAATTTGCCCAGTAACAATTGGGCACAGGTTCCATGTAAGCAATCCCTATGCTGACTACTGTGCCCTTTTGCCTTTTTTAACAAAGGAGGATTTTCTTTTCATTCGCAAGCTCCAGAGGATTTACAAGGAGAAGTATTTGCGGCAGCTGTACAAGCACGTGCGCAGAAATGACCTGAGCATGAACATATTTTTTAACGCCGTCAACTCTGTTTTTTTTTCGAGCCCGAGATGGCAGCCGTAGTGGTATTAGCGGCAGGCACAGTGCACGTGGCGTCTTTACGATGACCCCCCCTTGAGGGGGACAAAAAAAAAACTGAAACGGCTTATGCCCATTTGAACAAGGTCACCCATTACTGCAATTAAAATTTGTGTGCGCCATTCTGCTGCTTTGTTTTTTTTTTTTCTTCTCCGACTTGTGCATGTTTGTCGTGGCGGCGTCCCTCTTTTTCTGGCCTTAGTCATACCAGCTGGGCACACCCTTGGCTGGAGTTTTTTTTTGTGTTCTTTTTTCACGGATGTAAGAATGGTACACCAATTGAATTAATACACACCTTAATGGAACTATCTTCTTTTTTTT